GATACACACACGAAGACACTACTCGCTCAATGATGCTGTTCGGATGGTTGGATTGAGGGGAAGGGTAGGTTCCAATTGGTGCTCAACTGCATACACAACCATACCCATCAATCATACATTTGCTACATTGTCTTTTTGTACCTTTGATTAGTTGGTTGACGGACTGCTAACCTCACAGACAGATTAGTGTAGGACTGTTGTATGCTACCATAACCAGTTCTAACTAATGTTGCTGTAAGTGAACCATTCAGGGTGCATCCAGACTATGTAGACAATCTGTGTGAATGTTGTAGACATGCCACTTGATTTGGTATAGTAGGGAACTCGCCGGACACAACTATTTGTTGAAAATTACGTGCCGGTCAGATACATGCTGCGGTAGGATTCCATTAGGGGATTCTAGTGTAGACACTATCTACCGAACTAATGAGTGGGTCAGATCCTGTTGATGATAGAGCTGACAATAGGAGACTTACACATTGGAAGCATTAAGGGTTCCGCACGTGTTCAGGACCTTGGACGAGGGAAAAGAAAGACGGCTTCGTGCCGAACGTAGAGCCCGTGCTCTAGCAGCAGGACTACAGGAAGCAAACAGAGTAGCAAGAGAGCGGGCAACAGCAGTCGGAGCAGCAACAATGGCTAACGGTACCAGCTCTGCTGCGTCATCGTCTGCGTCCTCGTCAGGGACTAGTGGGACTCAGTTGGGAATGCCACTGAGTTCCATGAGTTCCTCGGGCACTTCCGGTTCAACAGGGTCTAGACAGTCTTCTAGTCAAATGGCGGGCTCGCAGTTCAGCCCATTGACCCCACGTGAGAGGGAGCTCAGAGAGATCCAGAAGGTCGAGAGGCTCCGCCAGAAGTTAGAGGAGGACCTGGAAAAGGCAACCGATAGAGAAAGAGAGATAAAAAGTAGAGTGTCCAGACTTGATACGTTAGAGGCTCACAAGGCTGCGTTAAGAGGGATTGGACGGAACGAGTTTGTCTGACCCCCTGACAGTGTTGAAGAACAACATGTTGTCACTGCATGCGCACGTAGACAGCAGGATGGACTTCATGCAAAGCACTTTGGACCAGATCCTGGATGCATTGACAAAGCCAGGATTCCAGCTCCCAGCACAATCGCCGTTGCCGTTATTGGCGATGTCAGGCCCCTTTCCAGTTCAAGCTGGTACACAGCCTAGTGGTACGTCTGCAGCAGCAGCATAGACTGTTGCGTCTTCTTTTTCGGGTCCAGTGGTGATTGCTACTTCACCACCACAACCTGTTCAGCAATCTGGACAGCCGCAAGGTCAATGGTACCCTAAAACCCCGATGAAACCGCCTCTTGCCTTCTCAGGCGAAAAAAAGGACGAGGAACTCAACACATGGTTGAGGACAATCCCGGTTTGGGTGAAGGTCAAAAGGACCTTGCCTGAGGACGAAGTGGTAACTGCGGCATCTTACCTAGAGGGTAAGGCAGCCAAATGGTTAGATGGTGTAGTTGTGAAGGCCGGGTACGGGCGACGCATGGCGGACTGGGCTAAGTCTTTGACTTAAGACCAATTCATGGAAATGGTAGAAGCTCGATGGCATAATCCACAGGAGGCACAAAGGGCCACTGATGCCGTTAACAAACTGGACCAACGCAAGTTCAGGTCAGTTAGGGAGCTTACGACTACCGTTGAGAGCCTGATCCTCGTTCCAGGTATCAACTACAGTGACCAGTTCCTGTTGACTACGTTTGTCAGATGTCTCCCAGAAAACATAAGGAACTTACTAGCCAGTGAGGCACGCACCGAGTACCACTCGTTTAAGACATTGTCTAGGAAAGCCTTAGACTTAGAGGCCACTCTAGGCAATGCTCAACCCACCTCAGGGAATGGCTCAAAGAAGAAGAAGAGTCCTCAGGAATGGAAGAAGAAGGGGGCGAAGTTGATGATCGTTGAGTCAGATGGGACCCAAACTGAAATCGACGAGTTCTCTGACCTGGTGGACTATTCAAAGTATGACGGCGAGGAGGTAGTTGAGGGTAGCACCCTCGCCGCGGTAGTAAAGACTAAGGCAAGTGGCCGAGGGAAGGGCCAACCTAGGAGTCAAGGGAAGGCCGCCTCCAATCGAACCGAACAGGCTGAGTGGGTAAAGGCAGGTCTTGATCAAGACGTGTGGCGTGACCGCCGAATGCGTGGCGCTTGTATCAACTGCGGAGAATACGGACACACGTAGTGGAAGTGTCAGAACGCTAAGGTTACGCAAAAGGTTGCGCCAAAAGTTGGGGCAACTTATTCCCAGGCTTCTAGCTCGGGAAACGCGTAGGGCCAGTGGAAGTAGTAGCGGCTTCTACTCAAGATGAAGTGGGCATGATACCCTCCTCACTTCATGACAAGGCCAAAGCTAATGATTCCTTAGTCACCCCGCAAACACAATTAGACCAAACTATGCTCTATACGTTAGATGTGTCTGAAGCCTTAGAAGACTTAGAAGGTGAGTGATCAAACAAGGACCCTCGCGAGTCTTGGGTGGCGCTGAAGAAAGGTCCTAGAGGGGAACATTTCGTGGTGGAGGTGGATGTAGGAGGCCGCAAATGTGGTGCCTTCATAGACAACGGATCCACGCGAAATTACATAAGTCGCGATTGTTTGGAAAGGCTGCACCTACAGGACCGGGTACGGCACCTTAGTAGACCAGTAGTATCTATTTTGGCCAACAAAGAGCGCATGGTTGTCACATACTACATCAAGGACGTAGTCTGTACCTTCTCCTATGGAGGAGGAGAGCTTAACCACAAGATCTTATTCTTGGTTAGCGACGACTTGCCATTCGAAATGTTGTTAGGCACGTACTACCTCGAAGTTGCTAAGCCCCAGTTTGACTGGGATAAGAAGGTGCTCAAACACAAGTTGCCCGAGGGCCGAACTGTCAGATTGACCAAGTTCAAGGCCAGTAGTATTATAGACACCTATGGCTGTTTGTGCGCATCCGCATTCTACAATTACTACAAGCAAAATGAAGAGGAGGGTATGTACCTTGTTTATGTCTCTGAGAAGGGGGAGGCTGTTAAAACACCCCAGAGATAGAACGCGTTGTTGCTAAGTTCCCTGATCTGTTCGAGGAGCCCTCAGGAGTTGTTGATAGGGAAGTCGTCCACGCTATAAAAATCATTCCAGGGAGTAAGACCCCAAAGGGAAGGATCTATAGGATGGCCCCTGCCGAGTTAGATGAACTTCGGAAGCAACTAAAGGAGCTGACAGAGAAGGGATGGATTCAGCCTAGTACTTCCCCTTACGGATCACTTGTGCTATTCGTACCGAAGAAGGGGGGTACTTTGAGGATGTGCATTGATTATAGGGGCCTCAATGCCATCACTGTGAAAAACCCAGAGCCTCTACCTCGCATAGACGACCTATTGGATAGGGTGCAGGGATGCAAGTACTATACAAAGATAGACTTGAAATCCGGATATCACTCGATTGCAATAAGACCTGAGGACCAACACAAGACAACTTTTCAGGCTCGTTATGGTCTGTATGAGTTTGTAGTGATGCCTTTTGGTCTTTGCAATGCACCGGGTACATTCCAGCACACTATGAATCGGATCTTCCATGACCATTTAGATAAGTTTGTCGTAGTCTACTTAGACGACATTCTGATCTTTATGAGTCTGCCGAGGAGCACGCAAAGCACATTGACGGTTCTCTCACTCCTACGACAGTACAAGTATAAGGTTAACTTAGAGAAGTGTGAATTCGGTCGCACTAAGATACTATACTTGGGTCACGAAGTATCCGCGGAAGGGATTAGGCCGGAAGATGCGAAGGTGGCTAGTATTCGAGACTGGCCACGACCTCAGACAGTCACTGAGGTCAGGTCATTCTTAGGAATGTGCGGCTACTATAGGAACTTCGTAAAGAACTATTCTACAGTCACCTCTCCTTTGATTGATCTAACTCGACTTGACACACCGTGGGACTGGAGTGATGAGTGCGAGGGTGCTTTCAAGAGATTGAAGCATGCACTCATGAATCATGAATTTCTCATGGTTCCCGATCCGCAGAAGCCATTCATAGTGACCACTGACGCAAGCCAATACGGCATTGGCGCAGTGCTGGCTCAGTAGGATAGGAAGAAGTTGAGACCAATTGAGTACATGAGTAAGAAGATGCCATCTAAGAAGTTAAGTCCACCTACGAAAGGGAACTCTATGCTCTCTACAAGGCACTTGTCCATTGGAGACACTTCCTTTTGGGAAGGTTCTTCTATCTGAGGAC